ATCTTTTTGGAGAATTTTGAAGTTGCGAGAAATTAGTTTCTAAATATCTTTTATTCGGAAAGACTTGCAAGAATAAGGAAAATTGTTAACTTGAATTTAAAATTAAGATTTTAGGGAAAGATTGTAAATTGTGCATAGCAACTATAACTGATGATGCAAAATGAATTTAAAAATGTTATATGTTAAACGTGGAAAAATGTTGTATTGAATATAAACATTTTTAAATGTCAATTGTAAAAGTACCTTAAACTTGTGTACATGTAATCTTTGGTCAAAATGCAAGTGCAAAAACTTTGTATATATGAATGTAAGGATTGAATGTGTTAAAAGTTAGGTTCTTCAACCAACACTTAATCAAGCTCTCTTTAGTTTAAATCAAGCTCTCCTTAGGACATTAGATGCAGTTGTGTATATAGGGAGGTTTCGAGGTCCTGCATGTCAAGTTCTAACACATTGTAGATGATGGCTAGTTGGTAGCGTTTACTCGCGGTAACACAACAACGACACCTCAGTTCATCCAAAACAAATTTCTGGAGAGCGTGAGGGGAAGAGTAGTTAAAAATATGTGTTAATGAAAGATGTTTGAGGGCCAAAGAATTTAAATAAACTGTATATGTAAGGGAAAAGGAAATTTTTGTAAAAGCCAAGGCTACTATTGTTTCCTTCTAGATAATCTGGAAGGACGAAGGCGGATAGCGTACTGAAAGTCAAGATGAAGCAGATGATTGTTCGAAATGATATTGAGAGTTTGTAAAAATGATTTTTCTTAGTTTTAGTCTAGATTAAGATCATTTGTAAAGCAGGTCCTAACAGAGGAATTTAATGATGAGAATGATTTAAGAAAGCAAAGTTTAAGGAGTTTTGCAGAATTTACACTCTTAAACAAGGTCGTTGTGAGACCTTATTTCTTCGAGTAGTTAAATTTTGGTGGGGAAAAATGTAAGGTTTATTCTAAGTTTTTAACAGTTATTTTAAGTTAAAGCTCCCTTCCTAGCTTTCCTAATTTCAGCTTACAATTTTCTCCCAAAATGTATTTTTAGAATCGTGTTTAATGCAAATAAGAGTAGTATTTAAGTCGAAGTTCCACTGACTTCGGGAGTAGGAACGAATTATCCTGCTGAATGTCAGGAAAAACACGAAAGCAGCAAAGCATCAACTTCGGGAGCTTCAGAAGTTCTGACTAGCGCGCGTTTGCCTTTTGGCCCCGTCTCTCTAAGCTGTTACTAAGCTTGGCGGTATTGCAGGCCCTTGATAGCTTCGCTGGATAATTCGACATTTAGGGGCCAACTAGTTAGAACTGTGATACCTTCGACTATATCTCTTTCTTTAAGGATTAGTTAAGTTATTATTTTCTTATTATTCTGAGTTCAAGCCCAAGTGGAGGCTTTGTTGTACGCCCTGAAAAAGGGGCCAACCGTTCATTCTTATTTTGAGCAATAAAGGGTAATTAACCCTTCTCGAGTCTTACGTTTCTGTTACTGAACATAAGTGATTATTCGCTTAGCTGTTCACTAGGTTTCTCCACATTTACTTCTTAAGTAAAAGGGTGGAACCCCACATTCTCATGAAAATTTCAATATCTCCCATGAATATAACTTCTTTTGAAGCATCGCAAATACCTAAATCTTCGCGAAGTGCGGTGTTGTTGAACCAAGTGTGATATATTTTCTTTTAGTTTTGCTGCTAATGCATTTATTTGACCTAGCATACAAGCTGTCGCACCAGAAGTAAACATAACCATTTTTTGTAAATCAATATTATTTTCTCTATAAAATTCTTGTATTGCAGATAGAACTGAAAAAGCACCACAGGATTTTATTTGAATTATTTCACCAAAAATAGTTTTATACTGGTTATTCTGTTGACATCTTAATCTTATGTATAATATTAACAATTTGTTGTTAAATTATCAGCACTTTCTTCTACAGTTAAAGTGTGAAAATTAGATACCTTGAGTTCTCTTATCATGTCGGTTTCTACCTCGGAATTAATAATTTTTAAAAACTTGAAAGCGTAATTTTTACTTAGCCAACTTTCTGGAATTTTTGACATATTTTTCCATATGATCACTAATATTCTATACAGAGTGCAACGAAATGCTCATTTTAATTGCAAGCATTACATTATCAATTAAGATTTTCACTTCTTCACGAATGGACTTTTTCCTTTGATGTTCCTTGGAGGTCTTATTCAATAAATGCACTAATTATATTGCTGGTAGCAAGAGATTTTTTTTCTTCTTAATTTTGTTACACTGTTCGCATGAAATTTATTACATAAATGTTGTTTAAAAAAAAATCCAGTCTCCAATTACCTATCCATTTCTTTCACTAACAAAATCACTATTTCCTTGTCCATCACGACAGTAAATACAAATAAATAACTCAATTTTCTTAATATACAATATAAAAATATTTACCGTAACGGAATTCGTAATTCGTTTTTACTGTTTGGTATCACTGTTTCAACTTTTTCATTAAGCTATTCGGTTTTAAAATCACTTACTGGTTTTCTTATTTTTACGAAGTTTTACATAGTGTATATTTAAATATATGTACGTAAACCGCAACGAGTAAACACATACCATATATACCCGCGTATAAGTCACCCCCCCCTACTTCGACATAAAAAAATCGAAGAAAAAAGAATACCCGCGTATAAGTTCGACCCCCCCACTTTCCGAAATCGACCGAGAAAACTTCGAAAAATCTTTTTAAGTACTACATTATTCAAAATCATCTGAGAAAAAAAGTAAATATACGATAAAAAATACCCTGGTAAATAAACAAAATCAAAATACTTCAACGTCCGATTCATGGTCAGATTCGCCAAACATTTCATAGAACTCTTCTGTCGTCATTGGCTCGTCATCATACATATTTTCAGTCTCGAACTCTGTATTGTTACAATCACTACTAGAGCCTTCGTCGTAATTTTCACTTTCAAAAACAGCATCATCTTCCGCGCCGTCTAATTCGTTGCTAATACAACATTTTTTAAATGATTTTATAATCATTTCAGAGGGTATTTCGTTGCAAGCATTTTTAACCCACTGAGCAATTAATGTAATATCGGGATTTTTAATTGCCTCCCTTTGTAAATGTTGGTTCGACCGGAACTAATCCACTCTGCCCAATATTTCTAACATTTACTTTGAAGGGCTTATTGAGGCAGACCTCTAGGGGGTTGAATGACGGATGTCAATCCTATGTCAATCCATGAATGAACAAATAACTATTATAAAGACTTATACGTACGTAAAAACTACTTTTCCGAAAATTCTTTGGTTTAATCGAAACTTACTCTAGTTAAAGTATGAAACTCTGTAATTAGTTCGTCACATAATTTAAGTCATGAAATTACTTCAAGTAAGTGACTTATTTGATAAGTCCAATTTGAGAGCTGGAAGAAAACTGCATTATATAAAGAAATTTTTGAACTTCCGATTCTTTTAATTTTTTATGGCCCCGCGTATAAGTCGACCCCCCACTTTGAAGTCTTTTTTTTTGTCCAAAATATCTCGACTTATACGCGGGTATATACGGTATATTGTTAGTTGCACTTGCAGACAACGCATCACGTGCTAGTCACAGTTTAACAACGCGCACTTTATTTACAACATTAGGAGACAGAGCAAACGCACCAGCATTATTTGTATGGCACAACACTCTTATTAAATACCAACGAACATATTTAATATGATTTATTTAAAAAGTAATGTAAAAATATAATTATTATTATTACGGTTATTTCGATTAGTGGCGTGTTTGTGTGTGTGCTTCATAAATTTCTTTGCGCCTTAAATTTTGAAAGACGTAGGAGGGAACGTAGACACAACTTAGAGGGAAATCTATTTCGGGTGCTTTGCCGTAATAAAATAAATAAAAACAAAACCCTTCCTTTAGGCAGAGAAGCTTAGGCTGTTTGGCTATAATCCAATAACCTAGTCTGACTATTTTGTTTTTATTCGCATAATTTGTTCATTCAAATGCAAAGGAACTGTTTTATAAATTAATAAATTAATGTAATGTATAATAACTTTATAAATAAATGTTATATATAATTTAACAGGGAAATGCTGCGGCTTATCTTCTTATACGAAATTTTAGTTATTTGGGCTAGCATCAATATATATTACCTCAGATCGGATGAACAGTTTTCTTTTGTGCTAGGAAGTCATAAAATATGGAAATCAATATATAAGAAGTATTGTTGATTATCCAGTTAAAGAAGTACCATTATTAATTTTGCGACATTTAATGTTGGCTTGTTTAATCAGTCACAGAAAAGAATGTAAGATTTTCCAACACTGGGACATTTGTGACAGGTTTTCATTAATAAAACACTACAGCTGTTATGCTTTTTAAAGTTTCCGAAAAATTATAAATTAAGAAACACTTAAGATAGAATTTAAGATGCAAAATAATTAAATGTCTAATTTAGTTCAGTTCATTAAATCTAATGATTATCTCAGATGATAATTAGTTTTATCACATTGGATTGTACTAAATTATGTGTTATAAAATGAAAAGTGATTTGTTTTTTTAAAATGTTTCTTGGAAAAAAAATCTGATTTTCAGAATTTATTTTTATATAAGTGTTAACATTATTTAAAAGTGCTTCAAAACACAAAGAAAGCCACCGCAACTCTTTTTGGACGTTTTGTTTATGAATAGCAGTTATTTTCAAATCATGTGTAAATGTTCAGGAGAAAAAAAAAATTCTCGAAGAAAGTTTAAACAGTGACAATATCCTTTGAATTCTATTTTACTTAAATCAACGAGAGAAGTTATTTTTATCCTTTTATATGATCACAAGTTTCCAATAAAAACCATTCTAATATGAAATTCGAGGAGTTGCTCACCATGATTTCAAATGGAGAGCAAATCCGCGGATCAGCGCCAATTTCTTGTTGTTGGCGCTTTGGCGCTTAAATTGGCAGACGATTAACGGCTTTTGAGTGTGTTACCGGGCATTTCGATTGTGATGAAAGATCAGAGAGACTACATGACTCCGCGCGTATGGGATAGAACGGTCAACCCAGTTCCATATGAGGTACGTTCGGATATAAACTATCTTTACCCTTCTTTCAATGCTTCTCTTGAATATTACTAATTTAACTACGCGTGTATTTAAATAACACTTTTACGGATTAATTTAAATGGGGAATTTTTTATATAAATTTTAAGAATGAGATAAATTCGAATGGTTTACTTTAGATGGGTAACAAAGTAATTCATTATTATTTGTTTTTTTACCTAAATTATTATTTGTTTTTTATCTAAGAAATAAATATATAGGAAAATAATTTAGCAGTTTAAAAATAATTATTTAAAAATTTAACTGAAATTGTTTTACTGGAAAACAAGGTACACATTTTGCTTTTACTATTTTTTTTTAAACATTAAGAGTGTAAGAGAGATATTTCTTATGGAATAAAAATAAAAACTGCAAAGATGTGTTTCTTATATATTATTTGATGTATAATAAATATCTCTACGAAAGCAAATCTTTTAAGCGTTCGGTAAGCAATCCAAACAGCGAGAAGACGAAACAAGAATCCTAGTGTACTGCAACTTACACATAGAACTCTCACGTGTAACTTACATATGCAGAATAGATATCAACCAATAGTGGCGAAATACCTAACAGGATGGCACGATTAATAAGTAATTATTATATGTATAATTATAGAAATTGTTGTAAGTAATGTAATAGAAATTATGTAAATTATGCATTAAGTAATTATCGCAAACAGAATTTAGTAGTTATTATTTATAAGTAACTTAAAATTATAAATAATTATTACAAGCAAATAATTATTTATAAGTAACTTAAAATTATAAATAATTATTACAAGAAAAAAAAAAAAAAAACAAATAAAAAAATAAAAAAAAAAAAAAAAAAAAAAAAAAAAAAAAAAAAAAAAAAAAAAAAAAAAAAAAAGAAAAAAAAAAAAAAAAAAAAAAAAAAAAAAAAAAAAAAAAAAAAAAAAAAAAAAAAAAAAAACTGTAATTATAGAATGAAATTGGTTTTTTGCATTATTTTATTTCTATTTCAGATTCGACATTTAAGTTTTTATTACTTCAAACTGTTTTTAATTTCTGCATTTTTGCTAGACAGATTGCCACTGTTGGTATATGAATATTTTATGCATATTATCTCATTTTGTTTAATTAATCAACTTCCCAGAATTTTGTAGCTCTACATTTACTTATTTAAATAAATTATACTCATTTTTTATCTCGCTCTCTCTTTGTGGGTATATATATTATGGATATATATATATATATATATATATATATATATATTATATATATATTATATATATATATATATATATATATATATATATGTAATTTCCAAACAAGATCAGGGAAAGGGGATAAAGGAGCAGATAAATATGGTGAAAGATTTATTTTGAACACCTTTTTTCTTATCCTAAAAGAAAGCCTAGTATTTTTCTTTATTTAAGTTTTTATGTGCTTTGCATTTTGTTTGATCTTTCTGATACTGGCAAATTATGAGATTTCAGCTGCCATACAAGATACATGCAGTGTTTGAGATTAATCTGTAGATCCATACTTATGAAAGCATAATGCTTGAGTGCATGTGTTTCGTTTTGCTGAAAACTTCAATTTCATTTCTTTTGTCTGAAAACAACATGGATATATATTATTATGTATTTATGTGAATAAAAATATAAATGTGGTTTGAAAGAACTTGTAAAAACTAAAGTATTTTCATGCAGTAATAAGATTTTTAAGCTCATGCAACTATTTGTTTCTTGACATCTAAATTTTAACGCACAATATCTGAAGAAGTTAAAATTTCTGTATAAATCAATAAATGCCTAGAGTTTAATGCAAAGATGTTTAGGCACTGTAAACTTCTAGAAACTGCGGACGACGTCGTGCTTCTTATGAAACACATCAGCAGAATCGTGAAGTTCAAAATCAAAGAGAGAAACCTGTCAACAGCAGCTACAGATTTTTGCTTATTCAATTGATTGCTATCTTAATCTTCAGAATGTGCTTTATACGCTGTTCCGTAATAGGTCTCAATGCAAATAGTTTAACAAAGGATATTCGCAGGTTTTAGGAAGCAGTGAAGAAGAATTTAAAAATTTTGCTAAAACTGAAGTTCAGGGAGGAAGGGATTTTTATTTCCTTGAAGATTTCACTTATGCTGAAAAACTAGAAGTCGCCGAAAACGGCGAATCTTCGAAATTTCATCTCGCAAAACTTCTCATAGTTGTATACCTCACGAACATGGACGTAAGAAAGGAAGGAGCAGCCAACCCCACATTAAGAGTGAAGCATTGCTCTGAGGCTTCGGTCTCCAGATGGGTTGTTTTTGTTTACATTCAGAAGCTCCCTTGGCAGCGCTATTTCGACACACGGCAGTTCCATACAAATCGAAAAGCGGGACACTTCCGCATAAAAGAAACATTCGTAGTGTGATGGATACTAGCAATTTCTATAGTTTAGTGACATTTATGCAAAAATCACATCTTGGTTATTTTTCGATAACTAACAATAGCGATTTTGATTATGAATTTGATTTCTAAAATTCTAAGCTGTTGAACTACAAAAATATAGATTTTAGCAAACATGTTATGCTTAAAGAATAAAAAATACTTTATGGTACCTTTAAAATTATATACATCTTTCGATACCTTTGATAGAGTAAACTAACAATAGCGATTTTGATTATGAATTTGTTTTATAAAATTCTAAGCTGTTGAACTACAAAAACATAAATATTAGCAAAACTGTTATGCTTAATAAAAATACCTTACGGTACCTTTAAAATTGTATACATCATTCGATACCCTTGATAGAGTATTATTGATAGAGTACCCTTGATAGAGTACCCTTGATAGAGTATAGAGTAGATTTTTGTTACTTTTATTTATGTTCCAAAAGCAAAATAAAATAAATTTAATAATTTTTAAATAAAATAAATTTTTTTATCATCCACATATTATTATAACATGTGCTTTTTAAAATTTTTTAGAGGAGAGGCTTAATAGTTGCTCATTTTAAACTCATCATTTTATTTTTCTATAACTGACAAATAATCACTTTGGGTTTACACATTTATTTATTTGGGTTAATTACTTATTTGTGTTGATTAAAAAATAACCAAATAATACCAAATGCTGCAATCCTCGTCAAAATTAATAAATATACACACAGATATAATAAGTTAACTTTTCCTTGATTTGTAACCACACATTTGTGTAAAATTATGTACAGTTTCATACAAATGTGTGGATAGAAGACGGATACATTTGGGAATTCGGCGAATGAAGCAATATTATAATGAGTAAGGCAATCAAGATTGCGATCTGATGACAATGCGGTTAATGTTTAAATGTGAAATGGATAGTTATTTATTATATTATCAGAGAATTATTAAACTGAATAAAATTGTTAAAAGAGGTATTGACTGCTCTGCCAAAATATACTTACTAGAAGATTTGAATTTGATAATGAATGTATCCTAAAACGTGTTTCAAGTCGAAAGTTTGAAACTTAATGGCTAAATATAAAATTATGCATGTTAAAATATTTGTAATTAGGCACATAGGTTAGGTTAAGGGTTAATTAAATAGAGTAAGGCATGCAAGGGCTATCTGCCTAAAGGGAGGATGACATCGTGGAGGAATTTCGAAGAAAAACTGACCTTTGAGTGTGTATTAAAAATAATGCATGTAATTTTCATTCAAATAATATTTATACATATTTGTTTTGTAAAAATTTCGGGTATATGCTAAATTTTTGTAAATTATTTACTCGAAAAATGTAGTGAATGCACAGAAATTAAAGATTTGCAATGCCGAAATAAAAAATACGAAATATGTATGAGTATTTATACATATGCTTGCAAAAAACATGTATCTGTCATTAACAAAATACATAAATATTTTTAAAATTATTTATAAATGTATTTGAAATGAAGAATTTATTAATTCATAAAAGAAAGTTACTATGAATAAATCTAATTATTAAATGTATCTAAATTTATAATGATTATAAATATATAATAACCTTAACATTGAATTGTAAACATAAATTGAAATCCTGTTGAGAAATACGTTTAAAAAAACTATTTAAGCAAGAATTGTTCGTACTGGAAAGTAATCTGTTAAAAGGTATTGTAATGCAAATTCTATGAAATGCGTACTTAAGGAAGTAATAAATAAGAGTTTTAGAATATGTATTGTGGAAATTAAGGGTAAATAAAATCTGATAAGTATAATTAAAAGAATTATTCCCTTACATTTTATAATAATTTAGTTACAAGTTTTAAATAATATTGAATAAAATCCTTTTTTTTTTTCCTTTTCAGAGAAAGTTAAGTACATGGAAATGAGCACCACTATTTAACGTATAAAATGAAAGGTTAAAAATTAATAAACCTATTAAAATAAAAGGTGCTCTAATCTGGAATGGACCGAATAGAGCACTAACTATAAACTGACATAGATTTTTCGATTTAAAAGATCCCATCAGAAGCTAAAAGATCATGACATATTTGAGAAAGTATTTTAGGAAGAAGCTCTATAAATAGAAAAGATATAATGCATAATTTTAATATTAATAATACAATAAACTTTGATCTTAATTTTTGTAATCCTGAACTGAATAAAATCGAATTAACTTAATTTTTTTTCTAATGTAATTAACGAAAACTTGTGAAAATGTTTCATTCAAATTAAACCGTTCTAAGCAAACTGTTCTGTGAAAACTAGAGCATTTCATTCCGTTCAGAATGAAATGCTGTTTAAAAATGTATTCTTTTCACATACTTAGGACTCTAAAATATTGTAGAAAATGAAATTATGTACCTTTATATGCATATTTACGTGTAATTACAAAATATTTATATCCGATCGTGTCAAAACCTATTGATCTTTATGGTAAGTCACTCAATGTTTTGATCACCATGGAGGGATCGCAAGCGCGTCAAAGCAGTGTATGAGGAAAACCAGTTAGGGCCTCTCCTTCTTACTTCCTACCTCCATGCTCACGAATTCACACCTTCAG